TTATGCCTCAGGCCACCTCCATTCGTACCTCTTGGTTCTGCTCCTATCACTGGAGGCGTATTGGATTCCCACTTTTTAATGAAAATATTTACATGAGTGGAGATGAAAAGGCTGGACTGCCAGGATTCTGAGGAGGATATGAAAACTGGAGTGATTGCAAGGATGCAGCATCCTTGAAAAGTGGGATAATGCAGGCGTTGGCGGGGAGGGAGCATTTTGATATTGTAACAATACACCGACTGTCAGGAGATCTGGGTTCTGGGCTTGAAACTGTTTTGACCAGCTTTGTGGCCTCAGGTGAGTCACCTTCGTGGTCCTCAATGCTCTCATCTGGAAAAGGTGACGAATTAGATGATGACCGGGGAAAACAAACAACAAAAAACATGCAAATTACGACACACTGTAGGGTCAGGTGCTGATGAGCACGTGCTGGGTTCTGTGCTGCTCTCCCCATATTCCGACATCCCCGGCTTTAAGGGTCCCCATCGCAATACCGCCACGACGGTGCTGCCTATCAAATACACAGGCAGCCTTTGGGCTGTGCTTTTGCCAGGACCTGTGCCGGGTGACTGTCACCACAGGATGGCCTGAGGACTTTTAATTCTTCATATGGGCTTTGGGACCTGTGGTCCATAGAGCAGGACAGCTGTCCATATCAATAACTAGATTCATCTTAAGCTCAAGGCCTGGATGTGCCGCCGGTGGTGAATGAAGTTATTTGTAGATAAAGCTGGATCGCACAGGAAAGCCTGCAGGTTCACCCAGGCCAGCCGCGTGAACGGGAGACAGACTGACTTAATATATTTAGCTTGCATTAGGGAGCTAATACAATTCTTGCTGATTTCCCTAAGAAGAAAAATGATGGTGGAATGGGAAAAGAGAACCTGGGAGGAATTTAAGCAGAGCTGAATTTGATTTCCTATGAATGGGGAAAAAGTCATACTGTAAATATTTCTCAAAGGCACTTACTAAATTATAAGTGATGAGGCTGAAGCTCTACCAATTGCATTCTGTAAATGCATGTTCAGAAGAGTGACAGACACACCCAGGGTAAGCGCTACAGGCTCCTTAAGAACACGTGGGAAACGCCTGGGGATCTGGACCTCGCCCTAGACTTGTAGCATCAGAATCTCTGCAGGGAACCCAGGAATTTGCAGATTTAACATGCTCCACATGGGACTCCTGCTTGCGTTAAAGTGTAAGCAGCACTGAAGAATATCATGGCCATTAAGTTTCCCTGAAAATGTTGTTTGCTAACACCTCGCCTCACGCATTTCAAGGCAAGTACTGCCAAGTAGACATACTTATATCCTGCGTCCTGCTTCGGCCACTTAGGGCCGGGGGAGCAGGCAGTGCCTCTCTCTGCCTCTTTTTTCTCCCTCCAGTTCTCTCTCTGGGGCTGGGGTTATCTTTAATTGAGATGGGCACTGTGCGGTACAAGATAGTTTTAGATCCTTTTTCCTATCCTTCCCTCCCCACAGCACAATACATTACACTTGAGTACTTCTTGCTCCGGTATTGTGTAAACTAAATGCTAGGGTGCAAGTTACAAATACACCTGATTGCTAAGACCCCAAAGGAAGATGCTAAAACCCCATATGAAGAACAAGGCAATCAGGTGGGGAGAGAGCGGCCAAAGGGCACCAAGGCTCAGATTGAGTGAAGA